GAAGGATTATGAAAAGCTTTGTAGGCAATAATAACTGAACTCTACAAACTTATTTGGCCAGGGAAGTCTTGTTTGTGTATTTTGAGACAGGCTCTCGTGCTGTAGCTCTGGCTGGTATGGAACAGAAGGCACTTTTCTAAGAACCCTTGCAGGGCTCCCGTAGATGCGGGGAAAAGCTAAGTGAGGAAAGGGGATGCTGGAGAGGGGGGAATTGCCAGTGTCCCAAAGCCACCTTCCAGACACCTGGTGCAGGGGGAGGTGGGAGCAGGCTAACTGGGGACCCTGGAAGCCTGTTCTGTACAGGAGGCCACTGGAAGCCAGCCTTGGCCTGCCTGTCCTTTACTTGTGACCTGTGCTCCCACTGTGGCCTGGCTTTGGCCGAGATCTCCTAGCATCTTGCCTTCCTTGCCACTCCAAGTCACCACCCATCCACCCCCTTCTCCCTGACCTTGTCTTGCCTTCAAGGTACACTTCCTTCTGTTCTCTGGCTGCCACCTCTCCCCTTAAGCAAGTCCCAGTTTTGTAGATTTCTAGGAGACATGCCCAGTCCTGTACTCTCTCCTGAACCCCAGGAAGGCCGGATGCCTAGGGAGAAACCCACAGAGAGGTCTGCATTGACCCTTATGCATGTCTCTCTTCAGAAACAGGTCTCTGTTGGCCTGGCCTGAATTCCCCTAGGAGCTAGGGAAACCTCATCAACAGTAACCCTTAGTACCAGGTTACTGTGTGACATTAGTCAACCTAGACTTCCTCAGGAGGTGTCTTAGCCTTCTGCTGTACATAACAAGAGGGCCCTTGGCCTTTCGGTAGATGCTAGCCATCGGCTATGATAAATAATCATGAAAACCCTGTGGCCTCTAATCTGGAGGAACAGGGGATGCGAGTGGCTGGGGGACACAAGCTGGAGTTTCTTGGGGCCTGTGGTATCTCTCTGGAAGGAGGGAGAGCTGGACATTGTGGTGGGGGAACATGGGTGCACATGTTCCTGGCCAGGTGGAGGTCTGGCTGGGAAGTTCAGCTATTTGGGTGGGCAACAGCGGTGCATGTGGACCCTGTGGAATAGGGTGGCTTAGGGGAGGAGCCCCTCTTCAATCCCTTGGCACTAGTCATTTTATCCAAGGAAGATGGAGGAAGTGGCCCAGGCTTCCCAAGGGCCCACAGCCAGGTTCAGCTCTTCTTCCTTCACTGCTGGCCCTTGATATGGGGGATGGGGATTAGAAACAGGTGAAGTGGTTCTTTTTCAGACAGAAGCACCTTTGGGAGTAAAGTATAAAGATCCAGAAGTTGCCAAAATGACTCTTGGATTCTACAAAGTAACAGGAAAGGACTAGGCTTGACTGTGTCCCTTGTCTGCCACTAGCTGGACTCTTAGAGCCAGGGAAAGCAATGCATGCAAATGTATGGTGTGTGTGTGTGTGTGTGTGTGTGTGTGTGTGTAAGAACAGTGGAGTGCAGGGGCAGAATGGGACAAAGAGTAACTTATTTGACGTCAAAACTGCTGTCCCATGAGTCTTGTTGGAGACCTGTGGCAACTATAAACACACCCCTGTGTCTCTGTACCATACTCAGCCTGGACTAGTCTGACTGCTTGCTCAGGGCTACCGAGTTGCACACTTCCAGGTGGTACCATTGACTGGTCCACAAACAAATGTGCTATGGTATTCGTGCAACGTTCTGGTGCTAGCCTTGCACCACCTGTCTGTGAGAGGGGTGCTGCTTCTCGCTGGACAAAAGGCCTTGGGGAGTAGCGTGATCAGGTTGGGAAGGACCGATACACAGTGCTATCCCTTGGAGGCACTAACTCCATTAGGGGCTCCTGAATACTCCTACTCCTCTCTGCAGTTCTGTGTGTGGAGACTCAGGCTTCTTTAGAGAAAGTTCTAGGTGTGAGCAGGGCCTTTGACCTATCTGCCCTGCTTCCCCTTATGGACATGACAGGAGTCTGCACAGGGAGTAAGTGGCTGGCTGGTGGCTGGCTAGTGGCTCCCACACAAACAGGGATGACCCTGTGAAGTTCAGGGAAATAGGGAATGGGTTGGAAGGGGCAGCAGGCCGCAGCCTTCCTAAACCTTCCTACAGGCATCACCACTGACTCTGAGAAGGTCTGAACCTGGGGCTGGAGAAGAGCAGGGATGAGAGAAGGGTAGAGAGGAGAGCCCACGGGCTACATCTGGGGTGGCAGAGGTCAGGACCTCTGCTGCCCCATTCCCCACCCACTTTCCGGGCCTCAGTTTCTCCTTTTGGTAGCCTGGGGATAATGCCATGTGTGCTGCCCTCACCTGGGGAAGGAAGGATGAAGGATGAGGCTGTGCCCCAGGCACTGGAGGG